TATTGTAGTTTTTCGGCGTAGTTCAATTTATTACACAACGGTTAAAACTAATGTTGGGCTTTATTTATAAATATTTTATTTATTTTCATAGAACACATCAACCGTATAAAATAGAAATTAACATCTAAAGGAAGGAAAATACTTAACCCTCCTTTTTTGAAGATCTATAATCGGATAAAAAGTAGCCTATAAGTAGCCCCGGGTCCCTAACTACCTACACACAAAATTTCATAGAAATCTGTTCAGTAGTTTTTGCGTGAATCGTTAATACACAGACAGACAGACAGACAGAAAGAAAGACAGACAGACGAAAATTCTAAAAAACATTATATTATTATAGTATTCAGTACCCTTTGTTTAGTCCCCTGGACTTGTTCTTTCTAGAAAATATTAGAATTACAGACACGACTTTTCTACTTATTTATTATATGTATAGATGTACATATTTTCTACACTTACACTTACATATTTTTATTAGTTCTATTATTATCTACTCCTTCTTCCTTCTGTTGTAATGTTATGTTCCGATTTAAACGGGTTAAAATGATTCTACCTACCCAGGCGGACTTCTGATAATGAAAGCCTCTTAACACCTAGTTGACACATTGATCAAATACCACTAATTGACGACACTATAAGCGCAGTATTCCATACAGTTGATATTATCATAATATAGTAATCAACAGATATTCCTATGAACAAGATGCATATTTAGCATTTTTAATTATTTATTTGAAAGTAAATAATGCTTCTGACTGCCAGTCTGCAAAGGGACTTTGACAGATTGGCACAGTGGGGAATGGAAAACAAATTGAATTTCAATGTGAATAAATGTTGTATCATGAGTTATGGTCGTGCAAAAGCCCCTGTATGCTTATGAAATGAACGGCCTCGTAATCTCGCGCGTTACATATATTAGAGACTTAGGCGTTGAGATGATCCCGGAACTTAATTTTCGTAAGCACATTTTAAATATTTGTAAAAAAGCTTTTAGGAGTCTCGGCTTTATATTAAGGCAGTGCAGGGATTTTCAGAATTTATTTACTATTAAAGGTTTATATAATGCTCTCGTAAGAAGTCAACTTGAAACGAACGCAAGTATTTGGAATCCATATGAAAGCAAGTATAGTGACATGGTCGGAAAAATTCAAAATAAATTCACGCGATCTATCCTTGTATTCAAACTGATGTATCCGAGTCTGTTTGTACTGGGGATGGTTGGTTACAGGCGCCTGAGTGTGAGAAGAGACATCACGCTTATTAAATATGTGTGGAAAGTATTACGTGGATGGATATATCACCCAGATGTGCTCGCTGCGTTAAAGCTGCAGTATAATAAGTGCCTAATAATAACGTGGGCCTCCTCGTGCCCGCTGCTAGGACGAAGTTGCTTCAGAATACACCATTGTCACGTGCTATACACTGTGTTAATATCATCTCACAGAATATTGACATATTTGCATGTACTAAGACGAAATTCATAATTGCAGCATACAAATGCGTTGAAAATTGTAACGTTTTTAATTAGTATTTTATTTTACCATCAATTTGATAGATTTCATACTAGATATCATTATTTGTTAGTCAGTAGTTTTCTTATATTTAGGTTAGTTATAGCATCGCATTGGTTTAATAACTGTAATGATGTTATAATTGTGTAATAAATAATAATAGTAATAATTTTTGCTTCATTCAATGTGGTTGCGGTATCTAAAACAGAAAAAGTACTTTTCGTCGTAAAATATATTTTCTTATTAATTATAAATACTTTGTTATAAAAATTAGTTCCAATAACTTTTACATCTTTCCGAAGAAAACTTTTAAATTTATAATGGACTGATAAGTTCCGTAGTTTCGTAGTTCCCACAGAGCGAAGCGCAAGATGACTTTGGTTGGTAGTGTTAATAGAAAACACACGACGCTCGATGCTAGTGTTGTAGATGTTCGGTCTAATCAGTTTACATTTGAAATGCCATGTACCGAACACAACGCCACGTTCAGGATGAGAACTGTAGTAGCACTTTTTATATAGAACAATGGTGACAAACGAGCATACAGCCCACTTGATGCTAAGTGAATGCTGCGGTCTATAGACATCTAACAGATGCAAATGCGTTACCTCCCCTGAGGACTAAAATGGCATGCCTCATTTACAGTAAAAAGGACATTCGGTACTCTACATTCACCATACAAAATAAAAGCATTGAGCTGCTATTTTACGATAGTATTCTGTGAGAGCGTGGTCCTTCCCCGGACGAGCCGACCCAACATGTGAGTGAGTGAGTGATTCTCCAGCACAAATATTGTTAAGCTTTCTAGACATGATGAACGAGTGATGTTATGCCAGCCTATTACTATTTTGCTGTAAAAATACATGAAGCTCAAAGTAGCATTAATCTTGTATTTATAAATGTTTAAATTTTTAATATTTGTATATCTTACTAAGGGCTATAAATACTTTTATTGTATGTAATTATTTTGACATTTTACTTAATTTGAACAACAAATCTTCATAATTAAAAAATATAGGTTTTTAATGTCTCTTTGTTGTGTAAAGCAATTTTGTATAATGAAATAATAAAATGGGAAAACCGTCTGGAAAAAAATAGAGTGTAACAGGTGAAAGGAATAGAAACCGAAATGTGAAATTTCAATTTATTTCGGCAACGTCAAAAGACCGTCAATATTTCTCAATTATTTTATATATTTTCATTCAGCTATCATAGACTACCGTACCTCACCGCAGACTACTATAGTCGGGGACCAGCACTAACCGACATCACTAGGCGGATGTCTAATAAAGAATTCGTTGGATGCGTGTATGTGGACAGTAGTTTGCTCGCACGATTCAGTGTTTGTTCTGTTGATGCATCTGTTGCTCTCGTTAATGTACAAGAGAGACGTTCAGCTGTCACCGGAGCCCCATTCAAATTAGAAGACGTTTCACTTAAAAGGGCCACTTTTGATTTAGAAGCTGTAATGTGTTTGAGTAATGCTCTAAGGATGGTCAACTTGAAATTTACTTAGATATTTTTTATATTGAGTAGGAGCCGTTTCCCGATTTTTAATGGTTCTATCATTATTAAAAAAAAACTTTTAAAAGTCAATTGCTGTGGCCTCCAACGTCCATTGCATCAAATGGAGATGCCATAGTTGCCACGCCATATTTTGAGTTGTTATCAGGGAGATGCTGTTCTTTCCTATTTCATCTACTTCTACCGCCTCTTACGACAACCACAGGATGGTGTTATTACGGCGCCATTACACGGCTATTGTAGATGTTTAGTTGCATTATTTTTAAAGAAGGGGGAGAAGGGAGATGCCTTGCAGTGACTTACAAACTTTGATACTTATTTTAGAAGACTGTATGATGTGATGTAATTTGAAAGTACACGAGCCACACAAATTCTCCCTAACAGGGGAAATGCCCACCAGTAGAGTTTTAAAAGCCGATGACAAAAGCAGTTTATCATAAATATCATCCTGATATAGTTGGGTAAAAAGTCACATTTAGTATCAGTAAGTAATTTTTTTTGTTCAGTATCAGTAATCTTCATAAATCAAGGATCCGGTAAGCAATCGTTCTAAGCCATATTGGGATTGAAATTCGATTGAAATTCGAAACTCAGATAAATTTCAACGTGGTAACGGTAACGGTAACGTATACCGTTACCGTTACTGCTACAGCATGTTAAAGTCTACTGCTGAACATAGGCCTTCCATATAGATTGCCTCCTAGGCGGGCTGTTTGATATAGTATAGATATTTTTAGTGGTTATTAGGAAGACACTGCCGCCCATCTCCGTTTGTTTCCCCCTGTCGCCTCTTCCGACACCCACGGGATGATACGGGGTAGTGGATGTTCTTATACCGCCACGGTAAGATCAGGCTGCAGCTATATTGTGGATGCAGTTCGGTCATCTAACGGAGAAGGATGGAGGATCATAAGCGTAAAAAGCGACTTTTTTAACGGTCACAAGGCATATGCATATTGCTTAAGGCTGACAACGAATCTGTATTTTGATTCTAAATTGGGGATATAAATGTGGATTTCTATGGTTTACAACATTCATTCATGGACATCATGCAGCTCAGGTGTGCTTGTTGGTCACATTTACTTGTTAAATACAGTTTAATTTCTTACTAGCTGTTCCCCGCGACTTCGTTCGTGTGGAATTTATTACGGTTCGATTTTATATGTTTTAATTTTTTTGCGCGGAACCCTAATTGTATTTCTAAAATGAAAGTAGCCAAAGTTACTCCTTATGATATCAGCTATCTGCCCCGTCAAAATCAGTCCAGCCATTTTGGAGATAGACCAACAGAGAGACAGTCAAAAATTTTAAAAACTGTTTTTTTTATTGTTATGAGTATCGTATATACTTTCATATGCAATTAGTTAAAGGCTGTTATTTTGACATTACAAACAGACACTCCAATTTTATTCATTTATGTAGATATAGATGTATCCGTATAAATTTACGCTATTGTTGAAGAAATAGCCAGAAGTGTAAAGAATAAAGCGTTTTTTAAAGTTGCCAATGTTTTACACGCGATGCTTGAATTCAACCTGAAATGCTATCTATCTGGAATATTGACGTAACGCTGTGTTGAACATTCTCGTTCCAGTTTAGCAAACAATAGGCGATAAAAAACGTGTTACTGCGTAAAACCGACAGTGACTTACTCATAGCGGTTTGTTTTTATTATTTAAAAATAAATATTTAATCAAATGCTACGTTTAAGTGATTTTACGTTATGGTCAAGTGATATGTAGTGTTGTGATGCAAACGCATCAATTTTGCTATATCTCTTCTTCTTTGGCTCTCTTCTTTGGCTTTCTTTGGCCTCTTACGATACGGAGTTAAATTGTGTAGGCTGCTTATTTATAACTGGTATGATATTTCATCGCGATAATTACCATTGTCATTCTCATTATATTCAATGTTGAAATTCTTTCCAATTTATATTTTTAATTCCTTTTTTTTAATTTTCAGAAAATGGAACTCCTACACGTCATTATAAAGTCAGGCCCATCACCGAGACCCCTTGCTTGGTCATTGGAGATATCACCGTCAGAAAACAACGACGACTGGCGCATGGTGCGTGCCTTCGGAGACCGAGACCACTGCCGGAAACTTTGGGACTTAAGACCGGAGCGCCGGAGAAGGAAGGCCAGGGGAGCAAAAAGGACCAGTAGAGCCGAGAAGCTTACGTGTTCAACACAATTCGCAAGTCCAAGACCTTTGGAAAATGGAGAAGTGAGTATGACAAAATACTATATTGAGTACCTATACGAGTATGTATAAGACCGGGGAAAAAGTTTCTTGGTGAGTGGTCTGAAAAGTTTCCGACCTAAGAAAGATGCAAGACATTTTTTTCTTAAAATTTATTTTTATTTTCTACACAGTCTCCTTATAACTTTACATCTCTCAAACACGTTCAAACATTACTCGGCGTTTTTCTCAGCAAAATAATTGTTCATGAAATGCCTCCTCATTTGACGAAAATCTCTGTCGTCCGAGCGCAATTTTTACATGAAAGAACAAAAAGAAATCGCTTAGGGACAGATCTGGTGAGTAAGGCGGATGGTCAAGCAGTTCAAAACGTAATTCGTATATTTTAGCTATGGCAACCGCTGAGGTGTAAGACGGCGCGTTTTCATGGCGAAACAGGATTTTCTTTTTCCTTCAGTTTATCAAGTAATTATGCGTAATATGCTCCTGTAATGGTTTTTCCTTTTTGAAGGTAAACGATTAAGATAACTAAATGACTATCCCATAAAACAGTCACCATCACTTTTTCCAGCCGAAAAAACAGTTTCTGCTTTTTTTGGAGCCGGTTCCCCCTTTTCAGTCTACTGTTTTGACTGTATTTTTGTTTCGGACGTATAATGATGTATCCAAGTTTCATCTACAGTAACTAATCGGCACCAAAACTCAGATTTATTGTATCCAAACTGTGCTAACAGAGCATTGGAAATGTTTATTCGGACCCGTTTTTGGTTTAACGGGAGCAAACGAGGCAACCAACGCGTAGACTGCTTTCTCATACCTAAATCTTGATTTAATATGTGACAAACACGTCCTTTGGACATTTTTATAGCCCCTGTTATCTCTCTCATTTGGCGGTCGTCTAGCACCATTTGGTGAACTTTAGCGATGCTATCGTCAGTAGTTACAGTTTTTGGACGTCCTGAACGTTCATCGTCTCCCAAGCCCTCACGGCCACGTTTAAAATACCCACTACGGCACAAAATACCACAATGCAATTTTCACACAGATACTGGAGGCAAACGAGCACACAGTCCACCACGTGGTAACTGAAAGCCGTGGTCCTTATACACCCACGTGATCACTTGCGTGTGTGTGAATTTTATTCTAGCCCACTGAAGTACACATTTTGCCCACTAACTTTACGGTAGCTGGAATTATGGATGGTAAAAGGATCTCCGGTTACCGTCACTCAGTATACGAAATATACATAACATAACATATACATAAACACTCATCCCTGTCACCCAGAGGGGTAAGCAGAGACTACAGACTTCCATTTAGCACGATCCTGACAACTTCAAGATTGGCCCAAAAACCCAATTTGTCGACTCATCCCTTTCCAACTCTTTCATTCACTTTTGCAACATATATTTGCTTTGCCAGTCTTTCCTCATTCATTCTTTCTACATGAACAAACCACCGAATCATTCCTTTCTTAATCCTGGTCACCGCATTATCTTGCAAACGACACTCTTCTTTTATCACACAGTTTCTCACCCTGTCACTCAGATTCAGCCCTAACATACTCCTTAGCGACCGCATTTCTACTGCATTTATTCTTCTCTCGTGCTTCTTCTGCTACACCGAACTTTCACTACCATACGTTAAAGTAGGGACTAATACAGCATTGTGAATTTCCATACGTGCTTTTTGATACATTCTGACTTTTCACAATAGAATGTAGAGCTCCATTTATTTTATTTCCTGTATTCACTCGTCGTTCAATATCCTTATCATATCTCCCATCCCTGCTGAATACACATCCCAAATATAAAAATCATCTACTTGCTCGACCATCTCCCCTTCTATTCTTATTTCACATATCGTTTTATTTTCTTCTCTTTCAAAAACCATTACTTTCGTCTAATTTGCATTCAATTTTATTCACCTTTTTTTAATAACCTGTTCATTAATGTAACCATCATTTGCAACTCGGCCGCCGACGACGCAAGTATGACTTGATCATCGGCGTACAAAAGGCAATTCTTAACCTGCATTCTTCAACTTTCATATACACTGAGCACTATACTGCTATTTAACGCTTGTTTACTTTCTGAATATGGTCTGTTGAGCTATTCCGATCGACCGAAAGGCATCGGCCTTATTCAGTTACGCTATGGTATATAATATTTTCTTTTTTTGAAAGAAAATTCAGGAAAGAAACATTAAAGTTTACATTTTCCTAAGAAATTATCGTCCCCGCTATGAAATCTGTCAAATATTTTACCTCCTTGTAAAGTGGCGCCACCCTGGTGACAGAAGAAGTTGTAAATAATAAATACAAGATTATAGCAGAAAAATGTTTTTGTCATTCACTTTTTTTACTTTCCATCAGGGCCCAAAATGCTTGTGTGCCTAAGGGCCCCGATATGGCGTAAGACGGCGTTGCCTATAACTGTTTAGCATGTATCCGTGGATATATGCATGTGAAGCCTGAGAGAAATGGAAGTCTGTAGTCCCCTGTGGGCAACAGTCATAAGTTATGAAAAGCAAATTACTCATTGATAGATTCGAACGGTAGCTCAATTAACTAATGAATCGTACAATTTATGTTGTCGCGTATTCTTATATGCGGCAGTGAATCACCATTTTAAGCTTGCGCTATCTGATAATTATCTTTGCGTAACTCTCTGTCATAATTATTGCCTATCGGGCATAATTAATCTATTTATATGCATGGGGCGTTCTCTGCCGGTCAACCCATAGAGTGGTGTGTATTTGACGTATGTAGGTGTAGGGAACTCATATAAAAATAAAATAAAAATAATATTTGAATGCAAATGCACAAAATAATGCTGATAATTACCCACGTATATTAAACATTTCACACATAAATGAATTATACAATGTAACCTACACATACATATAACACATATTTATATATACGTATAATTAGTACATACATATAGCTATGAATATATAAGTCACGATGAATCAAGTAATAAGCGTTATATTTAATAGATCTGATCAGGGACCAACTTGTAAAAGTATAATTACACTTTTCTGGTATAGTCGGGCAAGGAGTTCCAAAGACGTGTAGCCTAAACTGTGAAGTAGCTACCAAAGAACTTGTTAAAATAAGCAGGAACAATGTGTGGTGTACCTAACTGTCGAGTCATAGGTTCCCTGTTTGACCTGTCAAAGCTAACATTTGTGAGTCACAAATTATTAGTTTTCATCTCTCATTAAATGACGCTGTCAATGACGTTGGTCACTACCCGGGCTTAATACCTTGCCCGAAGGGAGTTCTTACTTTTTTCATCCACAGACAAAGGTGCGCGTGTGCTAAGATGGGAACTTATTTAAACTTCGTAATGCAAAATGTCTTTATGTTTAATTATAATAACCGATAACATTTTTCGAAAACATTATCTATGTCCTCATGAGTTACATCCAGATTCTCAATCGGGGATAGATGTAGGTATCTGTTGGTCGTAGTCCATTTACCATCAGGTAGGACATATGTCATCCAGATTGGTACAAAAATTCTCCAAATGCCAGTCACACCAACACCACCGGCCTGACAATTAACGAACGAGGCTCTGGCGGGTGACACGCAAAACCCGAGATAAGGCACCATTACCAGCGCTAAACTTTCAGCATTGCGTTTACAATACAGTTTGAGCATTACTCTTTACGTAATAGAGGTAGTTCCATGCTGCAGCAATATTATTTTTGTAGTACGAATTTGTCGACTCGATCGGAAAGCTCTTACAGAATACCAGCACAAAATAACTAGTATGTAGTATGCTTAGAGATTCGGGAGCCCTTTTTACTGGAAACAATTATTATTCTCCTATCTTGGTTTTCTTTGTTTTTCGAAATTTAAATTTTATCAATAAATTGTTACACAAATGTTATAATAGCTAATACTAATGTATATTTTAGCATCACATTCATAGTATGGTTAAAGGCATTAGAGCTGCCAGTTTATTTTATTTTATTTCTAGATGCACGTGGCGATCGGAGAAGGTGTGTCAGCGCGTCGATTGAGGATCTCTTTTCGCGCGGCGCATGCGGCAGCAACGAGGCAGCAGTACTACTCTGTGCGCGAACTGACGATTGCAGCCAGGTGTCTTTGCCATGGGCACGCTAAGCATTGCACTGTCGATGCCGAGGTAAGTTGAGTCACAGAACGGCAGCTTTTAGCACAGATCTTTATGAGGGTATACAAGGTTATTTTGCAATATACGCCCCAATTTGTAGAGCAGTTACAGAATAAGTAGAAGCAAGAATTGATTGAAATATTTATCCTACGCTAGGCAAGCAGGCATATAGGTGATGAAATTGATAATTCATATTTTTTTTTATAATTTTTGCACAAAATAGTGCATATAGTAGATCTAATGACTATAGGCTTTCTTTTTTTAAGCGACCATCAGGCTTTCTTTACCAGTAAATGATCTGCTAAGCATATAGCGCACGCACAGAAGATTTGCCCATATTACATGACGATAGATCGAGGTTAGCCAAGCTTAATTTTTACGAGTTAACAAAAGAGTGGAATAATTTTCTGGCGTCTATCATTCCGTCTTAATACAGTCTGAGCTTCTTCGAGGCAAAAATAAATAGACTTTTTTTACGCTAATAGAGTGCGAATTACCATCCATGGCTCCATCGCCACTTACTACCAGGTAGGATAGTAGTCTTAATTAATGATAGTCTTTGAAAGTCCACTGCTGAACATAGTCATTGCCTCATTAGTGGGACACTTGCCATAGTTGCCACGCATAGCAGGCGAGTTGGCAACTATAGTTTCTTTTTATTTTCTAGTTGTTATTAGGAAAATGGTGCTGCCCACATTCCAGTCAATTTCCTCTGTCGCCTCTTACGACACCCAAGGAACAATTTGGGATAGTAGATACGTGATATTTAGTTGGAAATATAGAGTGGGATCCAACCATCGCATAGCTTAAGGGCTTCTATATGGCTTAAACCGAATCTGCGTAGGAGCTGGTGAATGAAACTCAAGTGGCTAACGAACTTACAATCCACCTGATATGTAAGTGATAGAGCCACTCTGCAGCTGTATTATGGTTGTAGCACGAAAAAGTCGGCTTGACCGGGGCACGACTACGCTCTCACAGAATACGAGCGTCAAATAGTAGCTTAATGCTGCTCTGGTGAGTGTAGAGAGCAGGAGACCCTTTTTTACTGGAAATGAGGCATTCCATCTTAATCCTCAGGGGTGATAACACATCTGCATTTTGATTCTTAATTGAGGATAAATGTAGATGTCTATGGGCCACAGCAACCACTTACCATCATATTCAAAAAGTGGTTAATGCAGTCCATAGATACCAGTAGCCAACTTCAAACAAAGAAGCCTAGAGTTCAAAAATGGAATACCTCACAGTAGGTAATTATACTGGCTCTCTATACATCATAACACAGCTTTGCACTGCTATTTAGCAGCAGAAATAGGTAAGACCACCAACAAGTATTAGCAGTTGCTGTGATCATATAAATTGATCGGTTCCAGGGTGCCCGGTGCTCGTGTTCTCATAACACCTGCGGCGCGCACTGCCAGCGCTGCTGTACAGCGGGAGACTGGCAACCGAACTTACCCTGCGTCCCGCCTAACAACGATCGAGCTGATGGCTGCTCCTGTGACCAGCGTGGTGCTTGCGCTTACGACACTGGGGCTGTGCTTTGTGTAAATTGTACGGTATGTATTTGTTTATAGAATTAGATTAAAATATTATTTAAATTTTATAGAATTAGTTAAAATTTAATCTGGTGTCATCCAGCTTTAAACGCCTCCTTTGAGATGTGCGAAACTGTGATGCTTTCCATCTTACTGAAGGTTAAGATGGAAAGCATCACAGTATGTAATTATACTGGTTGTCTATATCCTTAAAACTGGAACACGGAAGTGCTGAAACTGTTGTTTGTTGGCCTGAATAGGTACGAGTGTGGCACCTTCCTAGACGAACTCCTATTTTTTTTAATAGAATAAGGTGAGATATGGTATGATGGAGTCAATTGCATCTACAGTTATCCTTGATTAATAATTAAAATGCAAATGTGTTGTCATTCCTGAGAACTTTTGTGGTTGTAAAATACTGTTGCCAGAATGTTGTGGTATACTGTTGCCAGAATTAAATTATATTATTGTTTGCTGTTACAGAACCCCAGACTCAAGTTTTGAAATATTTCTAAAAACATTGCACTTGTTGTTACATAGAATTAATGTACGTTCAAGATATATGACTAAAAAAGTAATAATAGCTGGTGACTTTAATATCAATTTACTTGAAAATAATCTAAAATGTTCACTTTTTTAAAATATTACTTAAAACTAACAATAAATGACCCAACTAGGATAACAACAAAATCGAAAATTTGCATAGACAATATTATAACAAATATAAAAGGTTACAGCTCATAAGTTTTACACTTTGGCTTATCCGATCACTCTGCACAATACATAAACGTACCCTGTAATCAAGGTTATATTGTAAAATATTAGTATGTACATAGAAGAAATGAAAATAAGTATTTAAATATCTTTTTAAAATATCTCTCTCAATTAAGTTTTTCTGAAGTTTTCTCGTATCGTGATGTCAATCAGGCATATAATAACAGTTTCATTAGCTTATTCAAATTAATATACAATCTTTGTATACCCGTAGAAAAGGTTAGAACATCATTCAAGAAAAAATCAAATTGGCAGACAGCATTAAAAGGGCATGCAAAACTAAAAGAAAGTTACATCAGAAATTATTTAAATATAATAAACAGGAATTAATACCGTATCATATGAAATACTGCAAAATTTTAAAATCCGTTACACGTTTAGCAAAACAAAAATCAAATATAAAATTCATTAAAAATAGTAACAACAAACAAAAATAAAGCTAGATGGCACTTAATAAAAAAGCAGACCACTTCACAAAACATATTCAAAACAACTACTAAAAATGTGACTATTGATAATAATAATATCACGGTTGCAGGTTCTATAGCTGAAGTATTTAACACTCATTTTGCTACAATTAACCCTCAAACACAAGCTACCTAACTACTATCTACCTCCTATCTACCTACTATCTTCTACACACTAAATAGCTTATATTTATCACCCGTTGATGCAAATGAATTGGAAAAAACATAATGATCAAAATTATTAAAAAATCTATAGAGTATATTAATGAGCCTCTTGTTTATTTATTGAACCTAATGGTACCTTTCCAGATGAATTAAAAACAGCAAAAATAAAACCTTTGTTCAAAAAAGGTTCAAAATGTAATGTCAAAGACTATAGGCCCATAGCTCTTTTATCTAACTTCTCGAAAATATTTCAAAGAGTCATCTACAATAGACTTATAGAGTTTTTCAATAAATATAGTAGTAAAAATCAATTTGGCTTTCAGAAAAATAAATCCACTACACTTGCGATCTATGAAATACTCAAGGAAATTTGGGAATTATTAAATAATAAAACTTCTTGTGTAGGTTTGTTTTTAGATATGTCAAGGGCATTTGATTGTCATATATGATATCCTATTAAATAAACTTGACAAATTAGGTGTACGTGGCTTGACATTAGAACTATTAGAAAGCTATTTAAAAGATAGAGTGCAAATAACAGCAATTAAAAAATTTGACAGTCAGTAAAACTTTTGAAGAAGTACGGTCCAAGCCAGTTAAAATGATACTAGGCTTGTCACAAGGAAGTATTTTGGGCGCTTTCTTATTCTTAATCTATGTAAATAACTTGCCAAATATCAACGACAATAGATGTGTTATGTTCGCTGATGATGCAACTATCTTTATACCAAATGAATTTTGAAAATAATGTAAAAAAATACGTGTGGCACTCGGTGACTGCCGCGGTAAAGCTATTGCGTAGCATTTTTTATCAACTTATGCAATTATAATTATTTATTTATTTTATTTATGCAGTTAAGTCTTTGATATTAAATCAAGTTACACTTTTTGAGCGTGGTGACCGATAAGAAAACAATTTTTTTTCTCTTATTGAATAAATGAGAAGTTAATACTGTTTAAAATATTTTTAATATCTTACAATACATGTAGGTTATTCAGGAATTTTCATCATTGAATTAGCAGCTAGTGTACACGCATACGTCTAGTCGCACGCACACAAACACCGTGCCGAAGTCTGCCGAGTGCCGAAGTCTGCCGAACTGAAACGACGTTAGACGATGCACGGCTTTCAACGCCACACCTCCGTGCCCGTCGGAGTGGGGAGCGTGATAATTTTTTTCGTTACGGAATATTCAATGGTATGCAATAGCTTAATAAAACTTTAAAAATAACAGTTGAATGGTTTAACAAATTCTTTCTTTCTTGGAGTCACCATAAACTGTCATTTAAATTGGAAATCTACGAAAAAATAAACAAAAAAAAATCTCTAGCTACAGTTACGCATTATCCATATTAGCAGAAACATCCTCCGTTGATGTATCAAGGGCTGCATATTTCGGCCAAGTACACCCTCTATTAGTTAACGGTATTATTTTCTGGGTTAATTCTACAAACGTGCAGTCAACATTTATTTTGCGAAAGCGATGTCTGCGGAACATTTATAATATGTACTCAGATAAAACTCTAAGAAATATATTCTAATAAAAAGGCATTGTCACTCTCACTAATATTTATATTTTAGAAATATCACTCTTTATCACACAGAATGGCAACTATTTTTAGATTAAATCTAACGGGAATTCACGTCCTATAGGCATTAAATATAAGCATAATTTATATACATCTACAATAAATTAATTATAAGAGCACCTTTTGCACAGGTATTAAAATATTTAATCATCTGCTACCTGATATAAAAGCCATGGACTTGCCAAAATTTAAAATACAACTAAAAATGGTTAATACGTAATGTTTTTTTTTTTAAATTTAAATGAATATTTTAATACCAAATAATTTATATTAAGTTTTTCTTAATTATTGCATACCCGATATGAGTAAACCGTGTAACATTTAATTGCAATGTCACCCGCAAATTGTACATACACAGTTTATTGGCAATAAATATTCTGATTCTGATTATGATTCTGAACTAAGATAGAATGCATGGATTTCAGAAAAAAGTGTCTCTTGTTCTCTACACTCACCATACGAAACACAGCAGCATTAAGGGGAAATATAACCTCAAATGGCTTAGCAAGATCCTCCGTTATGCCGAAAGTATTGCAGCATTAATTTTGAAATAAATATATGGTAAAGTTGAGGATTAATGTTAAGGTTTATGTTAGACGAAAACACGATTCCGTAAAATTTTCTCGATAGAAAAAAAAATCCAAAGTTACCTCCAAACTGAACAATAAACCGCTGTTATTCATAAAATACTTTAAATAAGATCATGAAACTTTGCATACTAACTGAACTAACCATAAAGCAGTGCTTATGTTATTTACTTTTTTTAAAATATCATTATTTTCACTGTAAAAAGAAATTACCTAAACTATCGGCGCGTAAGCTTGGTTCCTGTCGCTCCGTTAGTATTGCTCCGGCTTTTGAAGGGAGAAGTTGTGTCGCTTACGATCAGAAAACACATTACGCAACAGGAAGACGTAAAATTAAAATGGGAAATAACCGTTATAAAAATAAGAAGCGACTGGGTTGGCGTTAAGAAACAGGCATATATATGATAAACATAATGAAATAAGTATCTAACGACCTATCTACTTAGAGTATTAGTGATTACAAACATGACGCGCGGGGAAGTGGGGGCGAAATTAGAATTTGAGCTGATTTACTCTCACCTCTTAAGTCTCTTGTTCTCTACACTCACCATACGAAACACAGCAGCATTAAGCAGGTCTTTTTTATAGGATTGGGTGACAAACGACTACACAGTGCATCTGATGGCAAGTGGTTGCTGTGGCCCATGAGCATCTACATATAATATCATCAATTATAAATCAAAAACATATATACAGCTACAACAAATAAATATATATACAGCTCACTGAATAAAATTAATTGCTTAATAAATGCCGACGCTCCGGGAAGTTTGCAGTACTACAACATGTTCAAGATCGTCCCAACTATTATCTCAGGTTTGATAGACCATAAATCCTCGCAAAAGAACACCGATTCCTACCAATGCTGATTTACGATGCTATTCAAATTAAAAAACATACTAATTTTAATATAGAAGATATTTTTATTGTGTTGTGGATAAGTGGTTGCTGTGGCCCATAGATATCTACATATAATATCTTCAATTATAAATCAAAATTCAGATGCGTTGTCATCCGTGAGGACTAAGATGGAATGTCTCGTTTCCAGTAAAAAGGGTCTCCGGTTCTCTACACTCCCCCTACGAAAAACAGTAGCATTAAGCTACTATTTTACGCTGGTATTCTGTGAGAGCGTGGTCCTTCCCCGGTCGAGCCGACCCATTCGTGCTACAATTATACTATTAATATAATTGCGTACGTACTACGTGGTAGAGCTATGCTGCAATTATTTTCTGTGTTTCTAGGCAGAAGAGAAGTCCACTTCCAAGTTTTGGTCGCATGATGAGTATTATAATACAAAAAGTATTATAAATCGTTTATAAGCTTTAATAACTTTTATTTTTAGGATAACCGCGCTGGTCCCCTCTGCGATCGATGCTTATTCGGCTTTTACAACGCATTACCTGACGGCCCCTGTATTCCGTGTGAATGTGACCCAGAAGGTTCCGACGGTGAGTTACTGACCTAATATTCTTAATGATTATATTTTAATACAAGTGACCACTACCCCACATCGTTCCGTGGGTGTTGCAAGAGGCGACAGAGGGAACAGCCAGGATATGGACAGCAGCGTCTTCCTGATAACAACTCAGAATTATAAAAACCTGCTGTTGTTGCCAACCCGCCAGCCAAGCTTGGCAACTGTGGCATAATCCCCTTACGATGCAATCTACGGGCGAGGCTCATGTTCAACATTAGACTTTTATAGGCTGCAATAGATGGATACAAGTATGGGTGACAAACAAACGCCTCGTTCGTAGAAATTTCTACCTGGCCTAAAAGAGTCGTTACTGTAATTATATACATAGACCAAACAAAAAATGAATAATTTGTCGCTTTTTCGTCGCGCTTCATCCTGCAGCCAAATAAGATTTAAAGAGGATTTGACAAGTGAAGAATGAGCTTTTATAGCGTTGTTGAACAAAATAAAGAGGGCAAAAATCTAGTTTTGGATTTCAATTCTAACCTTTTATTCATGGAGAAATGCTTACCCAATACAACTCGTATAACAATATAAAAAATTTAGGTGATACCTCGAAAATTTGGTGGTTTTTCTATTTAACATATTTTTACAAGTTTTATAGATTACACACCAAAATTTTGGCATATGATTTTTGACTATATGACCTTGGATTTCTTGGAAAGGAAAACACGATATCACGTAATTTTCTCGATAGAAAAAAATTGCAAACTAGGCTCTAATTATTTACATTTCTCGATGACACCACAATATTCTTACGAATATTTTCATGGAATTATTTTTAAGGCATAGTAAATAATCTATATATATATATATAAATCTATATAAAACTAAAACTAAAATGGAATGTCTCGTAACTAGTAAAAAAGTTATCTAGTTTTCGTCACATATCATAAGAAAGTGTGAGTATCTAAGTTCTGAGTAGGTATCTAAGTTCTCATAAACCAGTTTTTTAATCCATAACGAAGTATTGTTAAAATAAATAAAATGTTGTTTGGCGCTTACTTAGTTTTTTCCTCATAATTTGCGTACTATGAAGTCATTGCATGACTTTCATTTTGACACTCCCTCAGTCGTCCGTTAGCTTCACCGACAAAGGAATAAGCCACGCCCAGTGGCGTAGCTACCTTGGGGCTAGGCGGGGCAGTGCCCCGGGGCCCCCAAGCTCAAGGGGCCCCTCAGCCTCCATGAACGACGTTTGAAAAAATTGTACATATAATATTGTAATTGAATTTAAAAATAATCGATTTTTTACTTTTTGGGTCCTGAGAAACAAACCACAAAAATTTCTTCCACCTTCAGAATATTAAACATCATTATTAAAATGAAATTGTCTACTTAGTTTTATTATCTAAATAGCTGTATTATTAACTGTAATCTACTTCGTCATTGTTTATTTTACTAGCCCGCGACTTCGTTCACCTGGTATGGACCAACATTGAAAATTCCTTCCTTTATTAAAATGACCCTTTTCTTGGGCTGAAACGGTGATGACTTGGTAAATTCCCAAGAGTTTCAAATTTTCCCTGTTTCCCTAAAAGAGGAATAAAATTCCGGACATGTCAGGAAAATTCCTGTCATCTGGTAACCCTAATCGTAGTTAATGCCAACGTCGTTATTAGGAAGACGCTGCGTCCCATCTCCTGTTTTGTTTCCCACTGTCGCCTCTTACGACAGCCGCGGGATGATATCAGGTAGTGGATATACTTGCACTGCCACTACACGGTAACGCCTCTCTTACTAAAGGTTGAATTTTCTGAAATTCTTTCTTAGTGGATGCTTACGTCATAAAAGGCAGCTACTATCAGATTTCTACGTCTAGTTTTTCGGGATGAGCGTCATGATATAATATTTTTCATACACACTTTGCACCCCCTTTTTAAGTCTCTAAGGATAGACTTTTGAAGAAACTAAAAATGTGAAATTTATTATTTTCAATTCCAGTGTGACTTTCATATTTAAAAAAAAGTTAATATATATTTCTCTGGTCCCTTTGTAGGTAATGGATTATTTTCAGAAGCACTAAATCCGTATCCATTTATTTCACTTTTGTATAGAAAAAGGATGATAAACGAGCACACAGTTCATCTGATGATAAGTGGATGCTGTGATCCATATCACATATGTATTTATCCTTAATTAAGAATCAAATTGCATATGCGTTGTCACCCCTGAGGACTAAGATGTAATGCCTCGTTTATAGTAAATAATGTCTCTGGTTCTCTACACTCACCATACGAAACATAGCAACATCACGCTGATATTCTATGAGAGCGTGGTCCTGCATCAGTCCATCCGACCTATTCGTGCTACAATCATAATATAGCTGTAAGTAAGTTTCAAGTCAATCGCCCCGTAAAATAATAAGTTTCATACAAACTGTATCACCCTATTTCATTCCCTTAGAGGTTGAATTTTCCTTTACCCTTTCTTTGTGGATGTCTACGTTATAAAAGGCAGTTACTGTCCCATTTTCAGATTTCTACATATAGCGGTTTGGGCTTAGAATGGGTGAGTTAACCGGCAAATGCCTTTTGTAAGCCGATGATTAAGCCATATATGCGGCGTCGGCAGCCGAGTTGCAAATGATTTTTACAATAATGAACAGGTCATTTAAAGAAATGGGAATGAAAGTAAGATGAAAGTTATGATTTTTGTAAGAGAAGAAAGTAAAACGATATGTAAAATAAAAATAGAAGGAGAGATGGTCGAGCAAGTAGATAAGTTTGTATATTTGGGATGTGTATGTGTATTCAGCAGGGATGGGAGATATGATAAGGATATAGAGCAACGAGTGAATGCAGTAAATAAAGTAAATGGGGCTTTACACTCTATTGTGAAAAGTCAGAATGTGTCAAAAAAAGGCACTTATAGCTATTCACAGTGTACCACTACACTTAGTCCCTACGTTAACGTATGGTATTAAAAGTTGGATGTGGCAAAAGAAGCACGAGAGTAGAATAAATGCAGTAGAAATGCGGTCGCTAAGGATTATGTTAGGGCTGAATCTGAGTGACAAGGTGAGAAACTGTGTGATAAGAGAAAAGTGTGGTTTGCAAGATGATGCGGTTACCGGGATTAAGAAAGGAATACTTCGGTGGTCTGGTCATATAGAAAGAATGAATGAGGAAAGACTGACAAAGCAAATATATGTTGCAGAAGTGAATGAAAGAGTTGGAAAGGGAAGTCCTATGCGATAGTTTGTCGATCAAATTGGCGATATATTAAAAATGGGCCAAATTAAGAGTACCCTTAACCGACGAGCATGTATGCGTAGGTAGTATAGTAGGCATAAGGATGTGGAGGAGGCGAGAGAGGTATGTCAGGATCCTGCTAAATGGAAGTCTGTAGTCCCTGCCTATCCCTCTGGATGACAGGCGTTTATGTATATATATATATATATATATATATATATATATATATATATATATATATATATATATATATATATATATATGAGGAGACACGATTAAATAGTATCTGCAGCGTTACACATACTACATTGTAGTTTGCACATTTAATAATAATTTAGTTTAGTTCAAATAGGCCCAATTACATACGCCACTGGCCACGCCGCCAAAACTTCGATTCATTTTCAAGGTATCCTCTTAATATAGCATAAGCAACTTTACTTGCATCAGCTAAAGCCTCATAGTGTTTCAATTTCGGTGGATATAGGCAGGGAACACTTTCGCAAACATCCAAGGCTCCACATCCTCCAGCCTTCCCTCAATGGCTCCTTCTTGGGATAGGACAGCTCCTTTCCCTATTACTCTCTTACGCAGTCCACTCTGAATCTGGATCTTAACTGGAAATTCTAAAACTTTTCAGGTTCGTGTCAATGGGATAAAAAACACCACCGCGCCAAATGCAACTGTAACCCTGGATACACCGGCGACCAGTGCGACGCTTGCATCGAACCACTGGCTACATTCCCCAGCTGCAGTGTTCAGGAGACGACACCTGCGTGTAAATGTGACCCCAGGGGTATTGTAGACCCTAATCGCATATGTGAAGTTGTTTGCGAATGTAAGGTACGAATTGCCCCTTCTTGTTCTATTTTTAAAGAGTTCACTTTATTTTAAGTCACACCATAGATTTTAAAATTTCTTCTTCTCAACGAATTTTAACGAAATTTCACACAGCAATTTCTTCTCTATTAAATTTAAGCATTTTGTAACTATTACTATTTTGTGTGGTTTAAGCGTTATTGTAAAATTTTTCTTCTTTGCAAAAAAACATTGCATATATAAAGTGTTTTTTAAGCTAGTAAGAGTAAAGAAAATTAGTACACAAAAAATTAGTACACCTTTTGGTAATTGAATGCTGTGGCCCGTATATCCGTACATCTATCCTCGACTATGAATTAAAATGTAGATGCATGGACTAAAATGGAATATCTCGTAACTAGTAAAAAAGTTATCTAGTTTTCGTCACATATCATAAGAAAGTGTGAGCGTGGTTCTTGCTCGGTTGAGCCGATCCATAATAATGCACTCCAAAACTGAATGTTAGTTACGCGGTCAGTCCTAAGGAAGACTAGCTATCTGCGCAGGACAGGATTATAATGCACGTATATGTGCGCAAGCACTGGTGCACTATTCCCTCATTGTCATAGTCAAATGGGACGGAAATATCCAATCTTTCGTGCTCCAAAAATCTGCGCCTATGCGAAGCAGTATTTTTTTTAAACATCAAAGGGGCAAACGAGCATGCGGCTCACCTCATGGAAGGTATCGACCGCCGGGCATGAACAACTGCAACACTAGTTGAATTGCAGATGCGTTTCCGGCCTTTTAAAAAAGTAGTTGTGCTAGGAAGAAATTCTTAAATATAATATAGTATAGTATATAGTAAATCGCACAGTCATGGATCGCCAAGCATCTAGATGATGTGGATGGTAACGTAAGTTTTATCGCGATGGGCCTTGATAAAATTTGACGGCTGATGTTAATCCGAACAATTCCTCAGAGCACTCCCCGTTGTAAATACAATAGAAATGAAAAGGGATACATCAGTCAGTGAGTCGATCTAATTGGAAAGAACTCGGTCGTCGACGATACGAGTTGTTCTGCGCTGGGCGCGTTCTAATGGAAGAAGCTGGCACTGGGGAGCCCCGGCTCAGGGATGGGAACAGTATTCCATCTGGGATCAAACTTGCGCCGTGTAAAGTTGCAAGCGGTGTGCCGGCATGAAATACTATCCTGCTCGCTCTGCTGTGCACGCCAAGTGTTTTAGAGGCTAATTTGGTTTTTTCTTCCAAGTGACCACGAAACTGCATGTAATTCAATATGTTGAAACTGAGGATTCCGATAATGGTTAAGGCAACAACGGGAGTGCACTCAAACTGATGAGATACGACAATAGGGTTCTTTTTAGCGGTGAACGCGCAAACTTGTGTCTTCGGAGGATTGAATTACCTAGATTTAGTCGTCCTTAATCCGAAACTTTGTTTAATAACGACTCGACTTCAGATACAAGTAAGTTCCGGTACTCGACAACGTTTTTCCAAAAAAATATTGACACGGTTTTAACAAACAACATTATCTTTGATAATATGCAGAAAAAACAGCGTTGTTGATAACTCGAATCCTTGTGAAACACCAGAATTAATAGGCTTGTATTCCGCGCATGCACCGTCGACTACTCGTATGACCTTAATATTCCGATCTGCAAGAAAACTGGTGATCCAATTACAAGGAGGAAGGTGAAGCCAATAGGAAGGAAGCTTCGCAAAAAGCGCTTTATGCCAAACCTGATCTAAGGCGTTCAAAATGTCCAAACTAACGGCCAGGAACCCCCTTTGAATCTACTGTCTCAAACTATCTATGAATTCGGAATGCCAGAAGATCACCAGCTGAGTGACTCCGACGGAAACCTTACTGGCGGTCTTTAATCGGCTAGGGATCCTCAAGTTGCCTCATGAGCTGGCAGTTTATGATGGTTTCCATTATTTTAGAGAACAAGATAGTGATGTTGATAGGCCTGTAGTTGGAGTTTTTTAAGGATCAGGTGCACCGAAGCTGTTTTCCATGAATTTGGGACTACGCCTATGGAGTAAGAGTACTGAAAAAAACGCGGTAAAACTGGTGCCGACTCCGGAGCACACGTCTTCAGCGCAATAGGAGGGACGCCATCAGGCCCCCTCCACTTGTTGATATCCAGGAAGAGGAGTGCTTTGCGCACCGAGCGTTGGGTAAACAGCACATCCTGCATATGGAGCACTCACACCGCAAGATCCTCGGCGGTCCCGCCGTCGCTCGGCAACCTGTATAGCGTAACCGCGACGGAAACGTGAGTGGCATCGTACTCCGTATCAGAAAATGGTCCGAAAAGCCAAGAGAGACATCAATGGAGTCCTGATATCCATCCGTATAAGAGTTCAGCAGTAGGCGAAGTAACCAGTTGTATTAGATCAGATACGAAAGTAGTTATAAACAGATCTACCCGCATGATCGATTAAACTGGAACCTAGGAATTTAGCGTGGTGGGCGTTAAAATCCATCTCTGTGGGTGGAACCTTGTAGCACGGAGTCTGCAGCCATTTGGCCGTGGTCAATGAGTCGGTCTGTGTCGGCATTACCGCTATGTGACCTATAGATGCACCCGTCGATGCGGAGATGGTCGTCACTCTCAACGCGCAGCCGTAGGATGGACAGGTCCGTAAATTCAACACTGCCGAGGCGTCGAAATCGGATATCCTGAAAAAGAGTTCACCCGTAATTTGTACCCCGGGTAGGAGAGATACGAAGTATCAGCCGGAAAGGACACCTGTGTCGCGGTTAGAAAGAGCAAGGCTAGCTTCACCGTCTCCAGATGGTAATGGATGGTGTTAGGATTACGAATGAAGTCCCCTGATGTTGCAGAAATTCACGGTCATCAGCAGAAAATCACGAAGCAGGAGTCGCCTTTGTCTTTGCTTTAGTCTTGAGCAGGTTTAGTCTCGAGCGGAATTTTCCCCCAGAATACGCAGGGCCGCCTGAGCAAACCCAAACTTAGTAAGAGTAGTTTGGGCGTGGATGCTGAGTGAAGGATTCTCCGACACCAGGGGATGATGGTACCCTTCTGGGGTAGTGTCTTATTTAACTCCGCTACCATGATAGATATACCATATATAAATATATACCAAACCGCGAAACTTCTACCTAGTACTATCACAAAAACTACCCTAACATACAGTTAGACAGTTTCTTTAAAATAATACTAGTTTTTACGGAATTTACCGCGTATATTTAACTTTTTAAATACCCGACGTTTCGAACGCTTTACAGCACTCATGGTCACGGGCGGGACTAGGATGTACAACAGTTTCTTTACTTTTTATCGTGTTTATAGCCAAACGTGGTGGGGGAACGATGCGATACGTGCGCATCTGGACATTACGGACTTAACGCGGAACTGGCGACGGGCTGCCGTCCGTGCTACTGCTCGCACGTCACAGACTCCTGCACGGCCGAGCGCGAGCCAACGCGCGATGTAAGTTCTCTGTGCTCGATGAGGAAAAACAATTACTTCTATCTTATTTTTATCTAAACAAATAAATATTAATTTTCGAAATCTGTCTGTAATGTCAGCTTTTTAATAAATGAATAAGTATATACGATATTTATAACAAACAAAAAAAAAACAATTTTGAAATGTTTTGTCTGTCTATTTGTTTCGGCTAATCAGCTGGACTGATTTTGACGGGGGTTTTACTGGCAGATAGCTGATGTTATAAGGAGAAAATTAGACTATTTTTATTATAGAAAAAGAATTAGTGTTATGCGCAAAAAAAAACATGAAATCCAATCGTAATAAACTCCACGCGAACGAAGTCGCAGGGAACAGTTAGTAGGTAATCATTTGAGATGTGTATTTGCAAACACTTATTCACGTGGTGTAAGAGAATCTTGGTTAAAAATCTTACGATCACTCGCTAGCTGGAACTAAGGTGAACTTATTTTTAAGTTAGGTTAAGTAATGGTCACACAGTGCTACCATCATTAAAAACTTGCGATTTTATTATAAGTTTTTAAATTTTTAGTCTAAATGTATACACTTAATATTACCCTAGTGCTGTATTCTTTAATGTTTTACACATATTTACCTTTTTGTAATTATTGTACTTTTTGGAATATCTACAGTTACCACACCAATTTGCCCTACCCCTGTCATCTTTGTGTAATTCTGTCCATTCACTGGTTGTCTGGAAGAAATTGCTAACAGCAATAAGACTGCCCAATGTATACCTACTTCTTTTGTATATATAATCTACAATTTTTGTATGGTGTTCAACAAAGAATATTAAATATAGTTTAGTTGATCCAGTTCCATTCTAATTATTATAAAATATATAAATGTAACTAATATTTCAGAAAGACACATTAATCTCTACAATTTTCTAACAAATTAACTTTCACTGCCATGAAATCTGTCAAATATTCCACCTCATTCCAAAGTTGCGCAGCAATTGTGGCAGTAAAACTCGTAAAAGTCCTCATTTATCTCGTGGGTGTCGTAAGAGGCGTCAATGAGAAATGCATGAAAGAACCCATGGAAAAATAGATAGCGGTATTACCACGTCATTCACGCCAAACGTAAAATATCAAACTGACGACGGGGAGCATAGTCATAAGTGCGATAAGTCTAGTACAGCGATCGATCCACATGCCAAGCGTGAAGATGAACTCCCTAACCGGGATTGTTTGGAACCCTAATGGGTCTTCCATGCATGCCTGTCAATGGCCTTTTATGGAATGAAAAGAAAAAGGAGAAGGATTAATAAAAGAATCATCTCGTGATGTTAAAGAACTTAAATGGCCAAAAGTATAAAATAAGGAAAAATAAACGGAATAAAAACCGAAAAACTTCCCACTGGACGAAATGAGATGACAGATCTCTTACCCCGTCACCACACGGTAGGCTTATATATAACTGAAGGTAGTCTGGCTTAACTAACTACAAGCTGACTATAACGTTCTCTTGCGACAACAGTTGTTCAAAACTATCGAATTATAAAATTTCTTAACACGTCCTCACTCTGGAATCGTCCATCGTTCTCTAAACTCCGTTCCCTCTCTTACTCATATATTATTCTTGCTCTCATCCTAATAACGTTCCTTTTTATGCATTGCATGGGTTGAATCCCACATTAATATAGATTATGAATATTGTCGTATATATTGAATACGAGTATCGTATTTATGTACGAATTTTATACCAACGTCAAAGTGATTAAACTTCCGTTATATTTTCGAGGAAAGATGGTGCTCCCTCTTGGCGACGCTTGGCTTATCAGCGATTGGGAAGCAAAAGAGACGTATGAGCCATCTGTTGATGATCAGGGAAAACCATTCCTGATTAGTTACGAGGTAAGGTTTTATGCTATATAAGTAAAAATCTTTAAGCCTTTGTTTTTAAATATCGACTCCTGACCTACCACAGTTGTAAAACGAAAATACCGTTGCCTGAATTTCATTAAAAATACCTTGTTCTTTTTATAACAATATCTGAAGGATATACTATAAATTACAAAAGATTGTAATTTTAAAACTTCTTATTCTTACAGGTAGAAGGCTGGGAAAATTACTATTGGCTGACAAACACTTTTAACGGAGAACAGCTCTCAGCATACGGTGGTGAAATCAGAGCAACTTTGTTTTGGGGAGTCGCCCGAGGAGATACTGGGGGAAGTCCAACAGTTGGTCCGGATGTCCTACTGGTTTCTGCAGGTAAATATTCGCTCATGTATTCATTCGTACTGAAAATCTCTCTGTTCTGTGGCCGGTCTTTTTCGCAGTTTCATGATGTAGCACTGGTTTTATTAAGTATATTTTGGTAAATATTCCGTTTTATGCAATATATTTATATATTTTATATCATCATTACGTACATCATGTCACCTACAATATAGAAGGTATGTGGAAATAATCGAGACTTATATTTTTAGATGGTACGCGATTGACATACAGCAACACCAGTCATGAGATACCTGGCCAACTTGAGTTAGTTGTATCTTTGCTGGAGGGCAGCTGGTACTCAGACTTAGGTGATATGGCCAGCCGCAGTCAGTTACTCGACGTGCTGAGCGACGTGCGCGCTCTTATGTTGCGAGCGTATTTTCACAACGACCAGGATGAGGTCAGTATAAGGTTATATTTATAAAATTAAGGTTGAATTTTTTCATTTCGGCTTGAAGAAAGGACTGTAAGTTTGAATTTATGCTTATATAAGTAAATGGTCAAAAATATTTTTACCGCTGTTCTTTTAATTTCTTAAAATTCTTTCGGTTTTGTCAGTAAAATGTATTAAAATGCATACAAGTCGTGTATGGAGGGGCACACCGAAATGATCGGGAATAGAATATTTCGGATTGAGTTACAATAAAATCTTTTTTAGAATTTGACAACTGGCCTCTCAGAATCTTAATGACATTCAAACAATAAAAAAATGTTTAAAAACAAGAACTATCTTGGTTTAAAGTTGTCACGTCGTTAATAGAAATGGAGCTCACGTTCTCGAACATTTCCGTGCCATAATTTATCACAATTTTCGTCGCGGCTTATCTCAAGATAAATGTCTCAGCGAACTTGTTTCGATTTATGATGTTGAAGCACCGAGTCAAACGACAATATACCCCTGGTATGCCGAGTTTCGACGCGGTCGTGTTTCGCTCAGCGCTGTTTCTTCTGCAGGTCGACCAAGAACAGCCACAGCAGCGGCGGTAATTGATGACCTTCACCAATCGGGACAAGAGGCACCTAATTAAGAAAAGGCACATTGAAAAAAAAAAAGAAAAAAAAAAAAAGCAACGCAGAACGGTTACTGCTGAGTGGTATATCACGGTTTGTTTGCTAGAAATGATAGCCGAACTCCGAAAAAATAACTCGAAACGTCGCATCATCTTCCATCACGATAATGCGAGCTCCCATACCGCTCGGAAGACAAATGATTTTTGAAACAGGAAAACGTTGAGCTGATGAGCTATTCTCCGTACACTCCTGACTGAGCCAAAATTTCTTTACATTCCCTAGAACGAAAGATTTATTACGCGGTCAACGGCTTGAAGATCCCGAAGCAGCTGTGGAAGCGTACAAATCAGCCATTTTGTCAACATCAGAATTACTTTTTTAATGATTGGTTTGCACGAATGAAAAAGGGAGAATATTTAAAAAACAATAAAATACAATTTAGCTATACCGTGCATGTGGTTTTTCTTATTCCCGATCATTTCAGTGTGCCCCTCGTAGAAACGGTGTAAAAAAATTCATCATTCTGTTTCAAGTCATAACTGTGTAAGTGTAACGATATCCACAACCAATGGGTGACTTAAGTGACGATATAGGGAAACAAACCAAGAGATGGCCAGCAGCATCTCCCCAATAACTACTAGAAGATAAAAAATTACGTTTGCCAACTCGCTTGCCATCCGTGGCAACTATGACAAACATATCTCTAGAAGGCTATAGGGGAAGACCTACGTTCAGCAGTGGACTTTTAATAAGCAGTAATAACTTATGTTGATTTCAAGTCTAGCACAAATAATAGGTTGTAAAACAAATGGGTCGGCACGACCGGAGAGGGATCACGCTCTCACAAGATACCAGCGTAAAATAGCAGCGTAAAGCTGTTGTGTTTCGTATGGTGAGTGTAGAGAACCAGTGATCTGTATTACTGGAAATATCGCATTCATCTTAATCTTCAGAGGTGACAACAACATCTGTATTTTGATTCCTAATTGACGATAGATGTAATGGAATACATCATCCACTTACCACCAGGTGCACTGTATGCTCGTTTGTTACCAATATTTAACAAAAAAGCTTAAATATGCTGATGGTATGTTAAGAGCGAATATAGAAGTCCGTTCTACATCCAGGTCCGTCTGGAGGGTTTGGAGGTGCGTGGAGCTGGCAGCGGAGTCCGGGAGCGGTGCGCGTGCCCCATGGGCTACGAGGGTGCGCACTGCCAACGCTGCGCCTGGACTCACGCGCGGCTGCAGCGAGCCCCTGGGACGACGCCCTCCTTCGAGTGTGTTCCCTGCCCGTGCAACATGCACGCTAGCTGTCGCACAGGTGAGACAGAGAGAAATGCTATTACTGTCACAAGTAAAAATACACATCTTTTTGGAGTTTACTCCTAAAGAATCGATTTTCATATATAGCGCGTGGTTGACTTATAAGATATAAGCTGAAGGTTGCTCAGCGAGCAATGGAGAGATCTATGCTCGGGGTGTTTTAACGTGATAGAAATGAGTATATCCGCAGTAGAACCAACATAACACACAACACCACAACAAGCTAAAATGACAATGGACCGGCCATATATAAGAAAGGTTCTCCAGTGGCAATCTCCTACCGGTAAGTGAAGTGTAGGGGAGCCGCCCTTTAGATGAAGTGACGACCTGGTAAGATATGCAGGAAGTCGATAGATATCGGTGGGTCAGAACCGTGCTTTTTGGCATTTCTCGGGGCAGGCCTATGTTCAGCAGTGCACTTGTGAATACTGATGAGTTTAGCATATCATATCTCAGATGTCAGCCCTCGTAGTCCGTTCATCTTTTCTTAGTCCTTCCCTTTGCTCTTAATCAACATATTTATGTGTTGGTTTAATACAAAAAAGTATATAAAAATTACAAAAAAACTGGATTCGATAGAAGATGCGTCTGGTCGATGATGACGAGTTATGAGATGACTAAACGAACTGGGATAATGGTAGCATGAACAAAATATATAGAATTTGTCAATAATTGGACTACAGCGCCATCTATCGGATACAAGCAAACCTATGAATCATGGGCTCGATAAAATAAATAATAAATTGTATGAATATGACCTTACTGTTACTAACAGGCACACCAATAATTATATACATAAAGATAAATTTAGAAGCCTCTAAACATTATTATTAATGGTTCCTATTTTTAATTACTTATAGTGGATGGCCCCTGCGGTCCGTGTCAGCACAATACTACAGGGCTTCATTGTGAACGATGCTTACCCGGACACTACGGCAACCCTGTACAGGTATATAATACAATATCAATTTTTACGGTAGGTATAACTCGCGGCACGAAAGTCTAGCGGTGACCGCTATTGCGCATAATAGGCCGAATTACGCATTATTGCGTTTGATTGGCTGTGCGATACGACATTCACAGCTATCTCCTCCACGTTTCGTTAAGTGCTAGAGTTACGTGCCGCGAGGTGTAACATCTTTAAGCAAGCCGATCAAATTAGCTTGCTATTTTAATATATTGTTTGGAAGTTTAAGAATAGTGTAAATATGAAAGTCTTATAAATTAAGAGAACCCACCACCCCATTTTGTTCCGTGGGAGTCGTAAGAGGCGATTATGGGAAATACCAAAGAAATATTGTGACCTTACGGCATTTTATTGCTTGTAACTATTATTTCACATGATACTTTCAATTTCTTGCTTATTTTTTTTCGACTACCATAATGTTATGCTTTAATTGAAATGTGTAATTTATTATACTTTTTCGTTTTTTCATTTTGGTAACAACAGTTCTTTGCGTAATAGGTTATCTTTGAGTTTTTCAAGAGCCATAAAAGACGTCCTTTTTAACTATTTTAATAATATTTATATTTATAAAATGGTATACATAAGGAAAATGGTGTATATCTTTAAACAATTATATAAAATTAATGTGTATGTATGTAATGTCGAAATAACTGTCGCTTATTGAGCTCAGGGGTTTATTTGCATGCTAGTAAGACATAAGTAACCATTTTTAAATATTATGTCTGACTATCTGTCCGGACTAATTTTCGGAATGACTCAACCAATTATAATTAAAGTGCGCGAACGGATAAAGTGCGATGCCAGGAGTGCTTAAGTTACATTTAATACACAAAACGTAATGTCTTTTTTAAATTGATAAAACTAGTGGTTTTTGATGATCATCCTAAATCTAAACATTACATAGGCGAAGCCGGGGCAGGTCACTTGTTGAAAAATATGTGGAGTGAATAATTATTAAAATGTTCAGGGTTCATGCAAGCCTTGCGCGTGTCCGCTTTACCTGCCTTCCAACAACTTCAGTCCGAACTGCGCACTCGCGTCCGCTGAAGGAGACGATTTTGTTTGCACGCAGTGCCCCGACGGGTACACAGGCGATCACTGTGAGCTGTAAGTGAACTGTTATATTATCTCGTCTCTTTAAATTTTAACATAAATCAACGTACACGTTTCTTCTTGTACGGATATGTAAGGTCTAGTAATTAATACTGTTTGCTTTATGGAGGAAAGGTTTAAAATGGTTGAAAACAATCATCTATCCATCAAAAACAAATTATAAAAGTGGGTGAGGGGTCTGACTGGAATCAGTCAGTGACCATAGGTACTGTAAAGCCCCTGAAACGTCGGGAATCAAAAAGTTAAAAATTAAACCTAATGAAATCTGCTAAGTGAACGGCAAAGTCGACATGGGACGCTCTAAACAAAAGTTTATCGACTAAATTGGCGATATATTGAAGATAGAAGATTACCCTTAACCGATGAGTCTGTATTATAGGTATATGGATGTAAAGGAGACGATAGAGGTATGAGAGGACCGTGGCTTTGCTGTCCGTAGTCTCTGTCTACCTCTCTGAGTGACAGGCGTGAGTGTTTACGATTATGTTAAAAAAAATTGTAAGATGAGTTTCATTTAATTGCATTATATGTTTTGTCCAGATGCGATGTGGGTTATTGGGGTTCACCAACGACACCGGGTGGGTCGTGCCAGCCGTGCGCTTGCGGCGGGGCGCCGTGTCGCGCCGACACCGGCCGATGCTTGGTGTGTCCGCCGCACACAGAGGGGGCGCGGTGTGACCAGTGTCAGGTGGGTGTACAGTTCCCGCTATTTACATAGCACCTTCTCGTTTTTTCAAAACTATCGTCGTCCTTGTCATCGTATATTATTTTTCTCATAGCATTACCAGTTGCAACAAGCGTAGTTGTACCAAGCGTGGCTACTATGGTGAAAATTCTCCTTTTAAAGCAATCTATGGAGAGGCCTATGTTCAACAGTGGACTTTACATGAGCTGTAACGGTTTCACCATGTGCAGCAATTTGTAGTAATTTCGGAATGGAATTGTAGCTATTAAATGATTTTTTTGCTTTTGCCACTGGTTTGAAAAACCTCAGACCAGAAAAAACCAGCTGCGGTTTTTAAAATTAACCGTTACGAAAGAAAAAGTATGATTGAAGAGCACCAGAAAATATAATGATAATTATGCTGCGTGCGTTAGATTTACTTAAATTGCAGTCACTGGGAAAATCTTTAAATTATATAATTTATAGTTTAATGTTTAATTAACGTCCAATGATGTGGACGATATGAACGACAAGCTCGTGGAAACTGTCCATGCGGTCGGAGCTAAGTTCTGTAAGACCCGCCGCAGAAGAACACAAAAACTCTCCGATCACACTCTTAATCTCATGGCTGTTAGACGGGAGATGAGGCTGCAATCGTCAACAGATTTGACAGCATACAGGCAACTGAACAGACAGATCTCCAAATGCATACGGCGAGACTTACGCAACTTTAATACTTCTCGTATTAAAGAAGCGATCGAGCGGAACCAGGGCTCCAAAGTCTTTGCCAGAGATCTGTCTGCCAGAAAGAGCCAACTGTCAAGGCTGAAGACTGAGTGTGGCAACATCGTTTCCGGGACACCTGAGATTTTGAGTGAGATTGAGAGGTTCTATGGGCAGCTGTACACATCATCGTTGGAGCCACACGCAAGTGTGAGTAACGATCCAAGAGCAAGTCTTATCCGACACTATTCCGATGATATCCCGGACGTCAGTCTAAGCGAGATTAGAATGGCTCTCCAGCACCTTAAAAACGGCAGGGCCCCAGGCGAGGATGGAATTACAGCGGAGCTTCTGAAAGCGGGTGGAACACCGGTACTTGAAGTCCTTCAGAAGCTCTTCAATTCCGTCCTCCATGGTGGCACTACTCCAGAGGCGTGGAGCAGAAGTGCGGTGGTCTTGTTCTTTAAGAAAGGCGACAACGCTCTCTTAAAGAACTACAGACCGATTTCCCTTCTGAGCCGCGTCTACGTGCTGTTTTCGAGAGTCATTACGAATCGTCTCGCACGCAGACTTGACGACTTCCAGCCTCCCGAACAAGCCGGTTTCCGAAAAGGCTTCAGTACCATAGACCACATACATACCCTGCGGCAGATTGTACAGAAGACTGAAGAGTACAATCTGCCACTTTGCCTGGCGTATGTGGACTATGAGAAAGCCTTTGATTCCGTCGAAATTTGGGCGGTGCTACAGTCCCTTCAGCGGTGCCAAGTTGACTGTCGGTATATCGAAGTGCTGAAGTGTTTGTACAGTAGGGCTACGATGGCTATCCGAGTACAGAACCAGACCTCGAAACCTATCCAACTGCAGAGAGGTGTAAGACAGGGTGACGTTATATCCCCGAAACTCTTCACCGCTGCATTGGAAGACGTTTTCAAGCTACTGGACTGGAAAGGATACGGTATTGACATCAATGGCGAGTACATCACTCACTTTCGATTTGCCGACGATATAGTCCTTATGGCAGAATCGCTGGAGGACTTAACCTGTAAGCTCTGACAGCGCGCGACATGTTATACTCCCGTTCGCTCGGGACCGTAATGGCGGCAAAATTTGAAAATTAGCAAATTTTTTGCTATATTGCAAATTTTGCTATATTTTCACTTTGAGACAATATTTATGGTTAAAACTTACAGGAATTCTTGTTGAATGTATAAACTATCGAATAAAATTATTTTTGGTTGCTAGAAATTGTAATAAAATACGTAAATTACTCTGTATAGCTGTATAGTGGTATATACTTCAATTTTAGTGACAAAATTACTACTAATTTGAATTCTACACTTTTGTTTTTAGAGAAATTTATATGAAAATGTTTGGAAATATGTATATTTTTATGTTTTATGTGTTTCCATTCGTTACTCATACCAAAATATAAAATATAAAGAAATTAAAAAAATTAAATATTAATATTTTATCTGTGTGACATTTAGAACAATATTTCTAAAATAGTTATGTGTGAATTTGAAATAAATACAACGTCAAGTTATTTGAAATATGTAAGAAAACTATTTTTACTTACATTTTACACTAAAAATAAATGAGAATGTGAAAAATACCACATTTATGACCCAGCCGCCATAATGGGCCTTCCAGATTTTGAAGCACTTTTGGCAATTTACTTTTCACTTTTTATACCACAAATTATATATATATGTATTCACTATATTACAAGGAATATAAAAAAGTATAATACTTTCGTTTTAGTCCAGACACAAATATAAAATTCTATAAAAAAGACGGAGCACCTTCATCAAAACGGCACGTGGAACGCCGAAAGTTCAGAGTGATTTCTTTTTTTTTTTCTAAGAAACATTGCCAGGTTATGGTTTAAAATAAAATAGCATATCTATGTCTTTGATACTAATATCTATTGCATAGTGTCTGGTTTTGTTTAAAACGAAAAAATAGTTTTTTCATAGGTAGACATGTTTACATAATTCTGATCTAATTCGATCACTACTTGGCGGGCGTAAGGTTGGTATTGCGCGATCGAAGGTGAGCTAGGCTTAGTTAACAGGTTAAGCACTATGCTCAATGACCTCAATAGTGCCTCCCAACGGATAGGTCTTAAGATGAACATGGACAAAACAAAGATCATGTTCAATGTCCATGTCACACCTATGCCGGTAGTTGTTGGGAGCACTATGCTCGAAGTTGTTGACGAATACGTTTACCTGGGACAAATAGTCCGACTAGGTAAGTCCAACTTCGACCGAGAGGTCAATCGACGGATTCAACTCGGCTGGGCAGCGTTCGGGGAAATTACGGCATATCTTTTCGTCAGATATACCTCAATCTCTAAAAACTAGATTGTACAACCAGTGCGTGTTGCCAGTGATGACTTACGGATCTGAGACGTGGTCCTTCACTGCTGGCCGTATGAGGACGCTTAAGGTCGCTCAGCGAGCTATGGAGAGGGCTATGCTCGGAGTTTCTCTGCGTGATAGACTCAGAAATGAGGATATCCGCAGTAAAACCAGAGTGACCGACATAGCCCAACGGATTAGTAAGCTGAAGTGGCAATGGGCCGGCCATATAGCTCGAAGAACCGATAACCGATGGGGAAGAAAGGTTCTCGAGTGGCAGCCTCGTACCGGTAGGCGTAGTGTAGGGCGACCCCCCACTAGATGGAGTGACGACCTGGTAAGACATGCAGGAAGTCGATGGATGCAGGTGGCTCAGGACCGTGCTTTGTGGCATTACTTGGGGGAGGCCTATGTTCAGCAGTGGACTTGTGAAGGGCTGTAATGATGATGATGATGATGATGATAGTTTAATGTTTTAATATTTATTTTGAAATCTTGCGTCCCCTTAGAAAAAAGGGGTACAAAGAGCGGACCTCTGAAAGTCGTTAACAAATCTAGATTTTGTTGACTGGATCTGTCTTTATATAAATTTGTAGAACTCTATCGTCATTGCCTTTCAACTTTTTGTACTACTATAATAATCGCTGCAGCAGCAGCGGTTGTTGCACCAGCAAACTCGTACATATCCACCGCGAGCCGCGAGCACACTGCGGAAAACTACGTTCGAGGAGAGCGATTATTGTAGGCACGTTGTACTTCTATACTTTACCCCGTGAGTAGGGCGGCTTAGCTTGTGCTCGGATCCTCTAGCGCAGACCCACCTTTTAATAGCCACAGCCATATAATTAAAAAGAGTAAAGTAGTGGGTGGGAGGGAGAATATTAACTTCCATATCATTGTGTGGTGTCGTAAGAGTATGGTGTCGTAAGTAATAAGCAAGATTATTCCAGAAGTTTGCACAATAATAAATATATTAATTGCAAACAATCATCTTCTGTTCACGTTTCCATGATCCTCGAGCGAAACGTTTGTCACTCAACACATCCACGAGCGCACTGCGAGCGCGATGCAAATCCCTTCCTGTTCGTCAAAAAACCGACATTAGGCGGAGTACAGTCGAGCACGAACCAAACGCTCGAAGCGCGCTCGTTCGAGGCTTGTAAGTCGGTCCACACTACACGAATTTGTGTTCGGCTCATGCTCCGCTCGTACTCGATTCCTTTGGCGTAGACCCGCCTAAATGTCTTGGAAGTTGCAATATCAGTATAATGAGGGCCTCCAAAACATTTTCTGCCTCCAAGGCAACGCCATTTAGGAGTGAGGTACTAGACAGATTTCATAGAGGGGAAGTTAAATTTTTAGAAAGTTAAAGATTCTTTATAAAATATTAGTTATACTTTCAGTAAAAAATCAGTGTTAGATTATAGAAAACAACGTTCATAGTTTACAAAACAAAGAACTATTATCCATGTCCGCACGTAGTCGACTAATGGAGTTACGGAGAATTGACCGTAAGTTAATGCGCAATGTTTTAAGGCCGCAGAGCCCATTTTGTAGTATACCCAGAACTCTTTGTTCCCAGCCAGTGACATCTGGTGAATCAACTATTATGTCTCATTGCTGTAACGTAAAGTATCGTTGTAGGAGGGGTACTGGTTCGGCGGCGAGGGGGAGCAGTGCGTGGCGTGCGCGTGCGGGCGCGGCGCGTTGTCGGGCGCGTGCGACGCGCGCACCGGACGATGTGCGTGCGCGCTCGGCTGGGCGGGCCGCACCTGCGATATCTGCGCACAGGGATACGGCGGTAGGTTCATTTACTTGTTAAGCTCAGACCTGCAAAGGAAGAAGCTCTACTCCTTACATGCATAAAACTTTTGTCTAAAACTAACTAAAACGATATTAGTTGTAGCACGAATGGGTCGGCTCGAACGGGGTAGGACCATGCTTCTGTAGCGTAAAATAGCAACTTAAGGAGAAATATAACCTAAAATGGCTTAGCAAGATCCTCCGTTATGCCGAAAGTATTGCAGCATTAATTTTGAAATAAATATATGGTGGTGGCGGCGCTGTCATCGCGCCGCAAGCGAAAACATACCGAAGCCTAAATCACGCTATCAACATTCCGAATCATAAACAGCATATATAGAACATCTCCGAACTATCACACGGAGTGTTGGGCGCTCCCCGGGCATAACACCTTGCCCGGCGGGAGATCTCCCCTTTTCCTTCCACGGCCACATGGTCAAGTTGAGGATTAATGTTAAGGATTATGTTAGACGAAAACACGATTCCGTAAAATTTTCTCGATAGAGAAAATCCAAAGTTACCTCCAAACTGAACAATAAACCGCTGTTGTTCATAAAATACTTAAAATAAGATCATGAAACTTTGCATACTAACTGAACTAACTATAAAGCAGTGCTTATCTTATTTACTTTTTTAAAATACCATTATTTTCACCGTAAAAAGAAATTACGTAAACTATCGGCGTCTTGAAGCTTGATTCCTGGCGCCCCGTTAGTATCGCTTAGGCATTTGAAGGCAGAAGTTGTGTCGCTTACGATCAGAATACACATTACGCAACAGGACGACGTACAATTAAAATGGGAAATAGCCGTGATAAAAATAAGAAGCGACTGGGTTGGCGTTAAGAAACAGGCATAAATATGATAAACCTAAATGAAATAAGTATCTAACGACCTATCTACTTACAGTATTAATGATTACAAACATGTCGGTACATAGCTACGACGCGCGGGGAAGTGGGGGCGAAATTATAATTTGTGCTGACTTACTATATCCCCTTAATGCTGCTGTGTTATTTATGGTGAGTGTAGAAAACAGGAGAAACTTTTTACTGAAAACGAGGCATTTTATCAGGGTAACAACGCATTTGCATTTTCATTCCTAATCGAGGATAGTTGTAGATGGGCTACGGCATCCACCTACCATCAGGTGAACTGTGTGTTCGTTTGTCAACCTTATTCTTTAAAAAACTAAAATAAATAAATATCAATCAGTAACACACAACATACAGATTTTATTGTGGACTAACAAAGGTTTTAATTTTTTTTTAGTTATTTTTAGTTTTTTTTTAAATATTAAGGGATAATATTAAGGGATGAAATGTAGCTTTCTACACTCTTTCTCCCATGGATCATGAACTTGGTTTTAATTTGATTTAAAATGACTTCATTATTATTTACCCATTCAGCGATCAGGCTGAAATCCTGATTTAGCTTGTGAACTACTTCATTTGTATTACCGGCCTAAATGGTATGTAGACTTAAATGTTGTTGGCATATAAATGATACTGGCAATATTTGAAACATCCTGTAATATCGACACTGCAGAGGATTAGCAGTAAAGGACCTAAAATTGACTGAGAAAAAAGTGTTGCTACTAGTTTCATTTCGAAGCCTGAATCATTGTGTGCGACCATTTGCATTAAAGTGGTTTGAAAGTTATTTAAACTTTCAAACCACTTTAATGTGTTACAATCAAAACCATAATACACCATCCTCGACAGAATTAGAGTAGTATTTATTGTATAAAATGCACGCGACATGTCCAGCAGTGTTAAAATATAGCCTTTCCTTTATCTTGAACTGTTAGAATATCATCGACAACACTCAAAAGTACTGTAACCGTGCTTAGTCCAGCCCTAAAACCCGATTTTTAGAGGTAAAATATTATTCTGATTTAGATATTCTATTAATTGCACATAAACAGCCTTTTTAGCGATTTCATACGAAAAGGCGGTATACTTATAGGTAGAAGATGATTTAGTTCTACGCTTTAGAGCCAGAGGTCGCGGTTGGTTAAGCACTCAAAGCGTCGGTAACTATAAACTTAAAATTAAATGCGATAAATTCCGTAAAATTAGTTTCATTTAATGAATAAATTTATTTAAAACACCCAGAAGACCCGAACAAAAACTTTGGTATACCATTGGTATACTCAACACAGACAAAGCTGGGGCGGGCCGCTCTGGCGATAAATACAATTGAATTGATGTTGTGGCAGACGTGGCGGCGGGGTGTCCGGCGTGCCGGTGCGGAGTTGCAGCGTTGGACGGCGCGTGCGAGCCGCGGTCCGGTGCGTGCGAGTGCGCGCCCGGTGCCTCGCCGCCGCACTGTGACGTCTGCCTGCCCGCGCACTACGCACTTAGTGACACCGGCTGCCTGGGTAAGTCACTACGCATGCTCAGATTAGCATTTTTCAGGTTGGAATGTTTGTGGCTGGTTTATATGTTTTAAATAATTATAATTCAAAATGGTTGCCATTTTGAAATATTTCGTGAAGCTAATTTAAAATCTAGCAACCTTGCCATCTCAAGCTCTAGCGCAAAGTAGCCTTTCAATTTGAACATCGAACAACTCATTTTAACATAACATCTTGTCTATCTAATTCAGTGTACTTTTTATCATCAACTGCATCACCACTTACCGTCGGTTGTCATAAAGCGAATTAATACACACGTGGTAAAGAAGTTACTTTGTAACTTATCATCCTTTCAAATTCATCAAATTGAAAATTCTAATATAAACAAATGAATATTTGATTGCGTGTTCGTCTTCCGTGTTCCTGTTACCATTCATCTGATTATGATGAAACTTTAGTAAGTAGTTTTATGAATGATAAAAATCTCTGACAAAAATTAATATATTAATGCGATTCTATACCATACATTACGATAAAACTCAGACGAGTTATAGTGCGTGGGCCCACAAATATTTCTAACAAAAAAGAGGCCTTAAAACTCATCTTGGGACTGTTAGTTACAAAATACTACTTTATGACTTACGACATCTTAAAACTTTTTCTAAGATGTTGAAAGAGTAATTTACAATAAAAACGAAAAAGAGAAATTTTATTAAATGTAAGAACCTTCATTAGGATCAACGAATGTTACGTTGAGTTACTTGGCAGACAGAGTCCTGGGCAGGAAAAGGGAGCTGCCACCTAGCAAATCTATAATCTATATATAATTCGAAAGATAGTGTGCCATAAATGTTTTTTTTTCTATAGAATTTTTTTTCTATAAAATGCGGCTCACCTGATGGTAACTCACTACCTCCGCTCATGAACAACCGCAACACCAAGGGCATTGCAGGTTCCTTGCCGGTCTTTTAAAAAAGAGTAAGCTCTTTTCTTAAAGGTCGCTAAGTCGTATCGGACCGGAAAAATTGCCGGTGGTAAACGATTCAACAAACAGGATGACCGTGGAGGAAAACTTATTGTAAAACGCACATTGGTGGACCGCCAAGCATCCAGATGGTGTGGAGATGGTATAAGGAGCTGGCACTTGACTGCTCCGGCCCAGAGATGTACCGGCATGAAATACTGTTCTACTCTGCTGAGCACGCCAAGCTTTTTAAAGGCCAGAAATAGAAGAGATAAGACAAAGGGGTTCTTTTTAGTGGTAAACACGCTAACCTGTATCTTTTGAGGGTCAAACTGGACTAGATTTAGTCGTCCCAAAACCGAGATTTTGTTTTAACATAGACTCGACTTCAGACATGGCCGGTGTAAAAGCATCACCTGTGCTGTCATCTACATAGCATTGAACTCTACTGGCTTGCAACATATCATTGATATGCAGAAGGTAGACATGTGTCAATCATGCATGATTCGTTTGTTTGAGCTGGTATACTTAAAATTATTGATGGCTCATTCATTTGTTTTTGAATGTACCAGTACAACCAATGACAAACAATTGACGGTACCTTTTTAACCCGCGATTTGTTTGAATTGTGAATGAGCTGCAAACCTACCGAATCCCGAATGATCTAAATAAACAGGCGAATCGAATAAACAATGCAGACTGCATAGTATCAGGAGCGTTTATTATTTAAGGGTTTTTTATTCTAATATTGTTAACTAAATTAAAAATTATTTTACATTTTATTTTATTATATTTATTTGTTACACCTATGAGTTAAAAATATCATTTCGTTGAGTTTACTAAAAATAACACTTCAAAAGATCTCATGAAAAATGATTTATTTATGATAATTTTCAACCACCTTATATAAGTATAAGATAGAAAAAGTTTTTTTTTGTAGCAAATAAATATTACAATTCCTATTTTTAGACATGTAGAGTAAAATGAAATTGTGTATTGTTAGGAATGAAATTTAAGAGTAAACAAATTTATTAAATATTATATGATAACTTGAGGTTTTTGTGTTTATGCCATCTAGCGTCGATCATACTTACCACCTTGAAAGCCAATAAGTTTTAGTTAGATAAAATGACTTTATTACCTATACCATGTAGTAGATGGCGCTATTTCAAATAGAAAATTTGCGGTTCCCTATGGATCTTACAGAGTATTGGAGCCCGAAATGATCCATTTGAATGATCGATCCGAATGTACCAGTACGCGTGACGAAATGTACTAGAATGATTCGGTCGCAAGTAATGAATGATTGACATATGTCTAGCAGAAGGAACAGCGTAGCTGGTAGCACACAGCCTTGTGGAACACTAGCATTGATAGGCTTGTAATCGGATCATGCATCGTCTACTATGACCTTGATGCTCCGATCAGCGAGAAAACTGGTAATCCAATTGCACAATTTCTCGGGAAGCCCATAAGATGGAAGTTTCGAAAGAAGCCCTTTGTGCCAAACCCGATCGTAGGCCTTCGCTATGTCCAAACTAACCGCCAAGGAACTCTACCGCCTGCGCCCGTTGGCGTGTTAGGTAAACAAGATCACCAGCTGCGCGACCCCGACAGAATCCGTATACAAAAACAAACAAAATCATGTGTACATACACATTATTTTTTCACATAATATGCACAAATTAATAAATAAAAACATATTAACGGTTATTCCTTAGCGCGATTTCCTCTTACCTGCATGGGAAAATATTATACAAAAAAATCTGTGCAAACAAATAATTGTTTCAACGCATTAGGTCAAATTTCGAACCCAGATGTTACTAGCATTTAATAATTCTGTTTCAATGGACGTGGTGAACTTATTGTGTTTCTGCTTAAGAAAAATTGTATTGTATGTATTTCGCAACCTGATCATGTTAGATTGAACCATATTTCACTGCATTCTCATAATAGTTGGCAGTCGTTTAAATGTAATGTGCAATATTCACAAGATACAAAAATGTGTTACAGATTTAATAATTATAAAAACATAAAAAGCATAAAGCGAAAAGTTTTACATCTCTTATAGAGCGTTAAGTTTTCCGGTCATATCTCGCGTGTTAATGAGTACATGTTTACGCAAGTGATCCAAAAAAAACTGCTTTTGAGATATTGACGTTTGGAATTTAGATTAATAAACAATGTTAATGGTTCGCTTTGATTTGTATCTAATTTGGTTTCTTATCGACTGTGATTGGATTGGATTGGAATCCTGCACGGAACAAGTATTTGTATGGCCTACAAGTAATTGTTCCGGTCTGGATGTTTGTCCTTGTGCAATTTATGTACGTAAACTCCTCCACGATAAAGGAGAAAATGTTAGTGTGGGGGTAAAGGCGGGTCGTCAAATAATTGATTTAATTGTGGGGATTCTGGCGATTTTTCTCACCCCCTGGTGAGATGCCGTGGCTCCACTACCTCCCCCCCCTCCCCCTCAATATCTTGTGTGTGAATATTATAGTGTAAATACGTTATCGTCGTGCTATATTGCGTTAGGTTTATTAAAAAATAAACATGATTTGCTCAATTATTGTTATATAATTTGTGGAGTTCGTATAACCGCGATTATAATTATTATATTAATTTAACCCAATATATTAATTTAACCCAATTTACTCGAAATTTTATTCTTTACATTTGCCGAGTCCTCTTCCTTCTCTTACGACTCCCCTCTAAACACCTCAAGTATTAATGAACAGCCTCTCATGATGTGGTTACGTAAAAGTCATCCAAAAAAGCTTCTGTTGAGATATTGACGTTTGAAGTTTGGATTATTAAACAATGTTAATTGTTCGCTTCGATTTGTTTGTAATTTGGTTTCTTATCGAATGCAAAATGTTCCTGTAAATAATTTTACTATTTGAGAAATCCGTTTAAAGTAAAACACATCTACATAAAGCTAATTTTGACGCTTGAAGTTTGGAACAATGACCTGCACCTGATCTCTCCCTAGTCGTGTCGGATTACCGTCTCATCAGACTATGAGAATGAGGAAATAGAGAGAGCACTTGTGTTTGCGCACACATTTTGGCACTATAATTCTGTCCTGAGCAAATGGCTATTCTATGTTGAGACCAGCCGCCGTGACCGAATCGGTCTGGAGGACATAATTGTTATTATTAAATACATAGTTAAGCCATTAACTTCTTGCTTTGACTTTTTAATTATAATTTTATTGCCGTAAAACTAAACTGAAAAAAATTCTTACCTACAATTTTGTTAGTTTATCAAATTAAAAAAACGACCTCTTATATTCACTGAATTACCAGTATGTTTGCTAATACTGGTTATAAACTGACTGTGTGTTCCACACGGTACCCAAGGCAATGAGGCAACTCCGTGCGGAACTAAGCGTCCTACAATTTGCGTAATATGCAACGAGGATGGATTCGGTACAAGAGCTCGTGGACCCTCCTCGTTGTTTGTCCGCCTGAGGACACGATGCTATTAAGTCGTATACTTACGTTAGTTCTGGCCACACAATTTAACAATTATTAGAAATAAGAATTTAGAGAAGAAGGTGACAATACAATCCATTGCGAGAGTAAGATGAGGATTAAAATAAATTCTGAGTAAGGAGGGAGAAATGCATTTTTTATTTGCGAATAAGGGTAAAAACGGGCACTCAATCGCTTACTAAGTGATAAACCTGTACCAAATCAAAAATTAAGTAATAGCTGACTTCTAAGAATCAAAACATATTGAAAAGTCCACTTAATGAATTCGGAAAACAAAGTGAGTCATAAGCTCAAATTTCGTCTAAATAGTGAGTGGAATTTAAATAAAAATGGGTATTCCCCATTCTTTCATCGTTAGAAGTGGAAGTTTTTTACGTAACTTTTTATGGGACCATCTGAGAAACACGAAAATCCGTGAAACTACCCTTTCATTGTTTAACGAAACGCTCGAAAGTCTCTTTAATTTTTGTTTCTTTGGTTGTTATTTTTAGAAAATATTTGAAACGGCTCGACCGATTGACTTGATAATTTATATTATATTTCCATATCTTCTTCTCTTCTAGATTTCTTCTATATCATATTTTTACATACATACACACACACACGCGCGCGCACACACACGCACACACAC